TTGTGGTTTCATACATGTTCCCTTATGGTCAGGGAAGTATAAACATGTTCCCCCATTTGTTGTCCCTGGATATATATTCAGAGAACCAGAGCAGAATTCAGGAACAAGGCAGTGGGCAAACATGGAGAGTTAGGTCTGGGCTCATCTCAATTGAACATCAGATACAGTCTTTAAGCCCTACAAAAGTGCAGTAGCCCATAAAGGCAGATTCCAGTTTACTAAACCCAAGAAAACAAGCAGAAAAAAAAAAAAAAGAGAATAAAGTTAAGCTCTAGTTGTTGCTATTGGCGTCACTGAAGTTATTGGACTACATACAAAAACATGAAAAGGATTTTAAGTGCAAATATTAAAGAAAAATACCTGCGCAGTGTTGCCACAGTCCTGGAGGCTAATCTGGAAGATGACCATGTTGTCAGTACTTTGGGTGCTTGGCTTGCATAGTTGGGCTCCCAGACTCAGATCAGAAGGTTTTACTAGCTTTCCATTTCCATACAAATCCCTCTGGACACTGACCTCCATGGTGTCCTCTCCACACTGGACACTGACAGGGGAACTTCCAGTCTGTGGTTGCTGTCGGAGCATCCCACCTGGACGTCCAGCAGATAAACCCCACTGAGCTCCAGCTCTGGAAGCCCCAAACCCAAGCACAGGCTCATTACTGCCCCGATAAAGCTCTCTGGAACCCCAACTAGAAGGAAACTGGGCAGGCACAGCCCGCTGGTAGTTCCTCCACCAATCTGACTGGCGACTTTGTCTAGCTAAGACATCATCTCCAGCACAGCCAAATCCTGGTCCATAAACCAGTGCAAGCAACAACCAACTACAGCAGCCCCTCATCCTTAAGCCCATCCTGTCTGCAAGGGGAACAGCACAAGGAGTGGGTTAGAGAGTTACCATTTATACCCCTCCCAGCAGCCACTAATACCCCAGCTGGGGCAGATCATTACCACACCCAGTGGGCTGGCCCATTCAGCATTAGGGGTAAGATACATGGTTGATTTTAATCTGTTGCTGCTGAGAGATTTAACCACTTGCTGGATTTCACCTCACTGGAGCTACACAGGGGAATTTTATTAGCTCAATCCTGTTACTAAAATCGTTCATTTCAATGGGGGCCTTAATGCAACAAACATTAACATGCAAACGTCTCCTGTGTAGCTTTAAGGTGCCCACACACTGCTCGATTCTCGTACGAGAAAAGACGTGCGACCGTTTCTACTGTACAGTTTGAACAGTGCTCCGGAGACAAATGCCAAACGGGCCGGTGTGCGCACGCGCACACTGCCTGTTCAGCATTGCGGTCATCGCAAGCCCGCCCCTCAGGGGGGCGGGCTTGCGATGATCGAGAGTACGATCTGCCTGTCCAAGATGGGCTGATCATACGTTTTTTAAATCACTTTACAACGATCGCAAGACTAAGGTCTTGCGATGGTTTTACAGTGTATGGCCACCTTTAGTCCAGGGGTCTCCAAACGTTTCAGGGCCACATTGTATATTTTACAACTATTCAATGCATAGTCCTCCCTTATATCTAGGAATGCCCAGCAGAGGAACCCCCACATAATATCTTGTAGCATGCCACATGGGGCTCACGGGTCATAGTTTGGAGACACCCCCCTAGTCTTGGGCCTCATTAACACTGTATTGCGCCTATTTAAGAGCCTTTTGCAACAATGTGTTGTATGCGTTATGGGGCGCACACCCAAGGATGTCCATAAATGAACTCAACAGGAAACACCTATGTTGCAAAGAAAATTGCCATGTGTCTTCTGGTCCATTGACGCATGTTTATGGCCCATTGAAAATGTATTTAGACCATGCAATGGGCGTCATCATGCCAAATAATGCGTGCTGACTAATGTTGGAGGACTTAGGCGAACTGGGAAGTTGCACCAAACCATCGCACATCCTTAGTATCAACACATGCAACATGGGAATGAGCCGTTTGTACATTACTATTCATTTCCATGGACCCCAGGACGCACACTGATCCAGTAACATACATGCTGTGCTCTCTGAATGAGCTCTATCACTGGGAGCCACTAAAGGTGCCCACGCACCTTGCGATAATCGTACGATAATCGCGGGAAATCCCGCGATCATACGATTATCGCAAGGTGTGTGGAAGGCGTGCGACTGTTTCTACTGTACGGTCGCACAACTTTTATCTTAGGAACATGTCCGAAAACCCGCCGAGAATCATATGATTGTCGGCGGGTGTGTGGCATGTTCGTAAGATAAATGCCGCAAGCGCACACTGCCCGTTCAGCATTGCGGTCATCGGAAACCCGCCCCTCAGCGGGGCGGGCTTGTGATGATCGCAAGTACGATCTGCCTGTCCAAGATAGGCAGATCGTACATTTTTTAAATTACCTTACAACCATCGCAAGACGAGAGTCTTGCGATGGTTGTAAGGTCTGTGGCCAGCTTTAGATCTTGCTTTGCTGTAATGTCTTATTTATTATTACTTAAACGCAGTCCATCCAAAAGTGAAGTTTTGTGTGTCCACGTCCACCTTTGTGTGTTCTCAGCTCCTCCTGTCACATTCTAGGTAATTTAAGAAAAATTAAAATCCAGCAGGGAGGTGAGAACCTCTTGTAATAGGCACAGCCGTTGAACAGACCCAGGAACTACGGCAAGCTCAGGGATGGTTGGAACCTCTCATAATGAGCACAGCCGGTGTACAGACCCAGAAACTCAGCTCAAGGATGGTGGAAACCCCTCATAGTGGGCACAGCAGAAGTTTAGACTCAGAAACTTAGCACAGGCGTGGTGGGAAACCTCATAATTGACCCAGCGGGTGTACAGACCTGGGAAATCAGTGCAAGGATGGTGAGAGCTCCTCATAATTGGCCCAGCAGGTGTACAGACCTGGGAAATCAGTGCAAGGATGGTGAGAGCTCCTCATAATAGGCACAGCAGGTGCTAAGACCCCAACATTCAGTACAGTGATGGTGGGGGCATAAGGTGTTTAATTTTCTAAGGCAAAAAATAAACTGTAAAATGTTTGCAGACTTTGCTTACGCCCCAAGTCTGTGATGTAAAAGATATATATGCTAAATTTCAAGAAGATCGGATAATATTTAGAGGTTGCACACTTTGATCTGTTTTGTAAAAGTAGGCAAAAAATAAGATTTGTCAATGTTAATTACTTTTATTGGGAAAACTAGAAATCACAAACTTAAAATACTATTAAAACTATACACTAAGATTAATAGGTAATATGATAGGCAAAACATGTTATATTAATCAACTTTGAACAATGCAATCCCTTGTTTTGTTAGCTTGGTGACGACTTTTCTGTGATGCTCGACTACCCTCAACAAGAATTGTTTTTGTTGTTCATCCCTGACCAATTCGTTATACTTTTTTATCAGAGCAATTCCTTTCTGCGGTATCATTGACAACCTTAAGAGCATTCACATGGCTTCTTAGAGAATCACTGCAGTATTCTGTCACGTCGTGGATCCCAAACAATTCAAAGAACGTCTTAGTTTTATTAGTAACGAAATGGCTCAGTTCTTTTCCTTCAAAAACCATGTTTTTACCCTCTAATCATTTCACTTCCTTTTTCTTTGCAGGTTTGGTTTCTACATTTTTAGTCATATTTTCCTTAACAGCCTGAATAATAAGTTCGTCCAAAAAAGCCAATCCTACGTTTGTTTCTGACAGATACCAAAGGTGTCTCTTAGCAACGTTGAGAGCACATTTTTTGACGTCTGCATCTGGGTAAGTGCTCAGAAGCTGTAGCATATCCAAATCATTCTTTGGAGCCCATCGACTTACAATTGCCTCATGCCAAAAGTAAACATATATGAGGCTGACAAAATGTGCAACCCGTTTCATTCCTTACAATTGTCGTTGAGGAATATTCAACTGTTTAGTGAAGGACAATTTAAGTGCATATATTGCCTTTGCCATCCACCTTGCTTGATGCAGTGCCCCTGGGATCCTGAATCTGAAGTAGAAATGTCACTGGTTTGTGATAAAAGTGATCAATGTGTGCAACCCCTAAATATTTTCCAATCTTCTTGAAATTTGGCATATATATATCTTTAACATCACTGAGGCTCGGGGCGTAAGCAAAGTCATGAAAATCACATCTTTGGAAAAATGAAACACCCTATGGGGGCCTCTCATAACAGCCATTGCAGCTGTGCAAAGCTGGAAACTCAGCATAGCAATGGTGGGAGTCCCTCATAATGGGCAGAATGGATGTAGAGACCAAGTACTCTTCCCCAAGAGCCCTGATGCAAATTGCCATGTTGAAGGGCAGATTTGCCCACAGTTGGATTTCACTGGAGGAAAGTGCTGAGATTCAGGGACATTTTATCAAGAGAAAGCACAGGTATTGATGCATTTATAGTTTCTGTCTTAGGATAACACACTACTGCATCTATGGAAGCAGCACTGCCCACCTATGCTAGGACTACAAACCCCCCTCTAGAGTGATGTGTTCTATAGCCGTTAAGATACATTTTTTCCAACCAGCTTTGAAATAAAGCGCAAGCAGTTGTGTTTTTGCACTCACTGAATAGATCTGTACCATTGAAAGTTTGTTTTTTGTGGACCAAAAGTTGGTTTCAAGGTTATACGCTCAACATGTGCTTAGACCATTACACAAGTATTGAGCTCATTTGGAATTCAGTTCCCATCCAGAATTCGTCTTGCATAGAAGGTTTAGACTGCCACAAGCGACAGAGACAGTAAGCCTCCAGCACGCCTCCTGTAAAAACCTGAGTTGTGGTTCACCACCAGTGTAAAACTAAACTAAATCCAGGGAGGGGCTTATCATTTTATAGTAGACTTGAGATTCTACATGATTTACCAATAGCCTCAGGTTCTGTCCCCTTAAACATTTCCTTTCAATACATATGTTTGAGAAACATCTGACAAAACCCATGTACAGATGCCTCAGCAAACCCCAATGTTACAGGGAAACGGCAAGAAAGTACATTATGCCATCTATAAATAAAAGACCAGATTAAATGAGAATTGTTTTATTTTTCCACAGACAGCACATTGTGTGGCTTTTTCAGAGACTTCCAAATGGACACTGCACATACAAGGACAACCAGAAGACTGAGACATCCAACAGCCACCAACACCCAGAGCTCCACAGGGGCAGACTCTTCCTTTGTCATTTGAAGTGCAACATCGCTTTGTTTTGGCCCAATCACAAGCAGAGGTCCCAGAGTAGTGACACTTTGTCCACCTTCTATGTGGGGTTCTGTAGGAGAAAAACATTGGGGGGTCAAGAGACACTTCCTTGTCTTGACTGAACTCATAATTGCAACTGGAGTATGCAAAGCAAAAACCCATTATAGACCTTTAGTCACTTCAACCAAGAGTTGAACATGAATAGGAAGGGTGGGAGGAGGGGGTTTTAACCCCCAGGTTCTCCGTCAGACATTTAAGATCGCCACTCCTAGTCAGATTATGTGGCAATTGAAGAAAAGTTTCCATTGGGGGCACAAGGCAGCCATTGGGTTTTAGCTTTTCCCCATATTGCTTCCCTTGCCCATCAGATGTGTTCATTTGTGGAGTCTTTATATCTAGAGGTCACATACTGCCATATGTTACTGTATAACTCACCATCCAAGGCTTCCCTCTTGCCAAATGCTCTCGGTCTTCCAAATCTGGTCCTTTCTCCTGTCATCAGATTAGGGTTGCTGCAGGTGCCTGTTGTCTGACAACACTGGCAGATATTGCTGGGGCCCTCAACTGCAGACCAGCTAGAGAAGACAAGCAATTGTCAGTGTCACAGCTGATGTTTTAAGAACAATCATTTAAATGTTTGATAAGTCACATGGCTGTAAAATGGATTGACATTTTTGTTATGAAAAAAACTGCTCATTCCCAGCAGATATAGTGCACTAGAGGTACAGTGACCAAGTGCCTGACATCTGAGGCTACATCCCTTCTATTCAGACATTCAAGCACTCCAGTCTGGAAGTGAATAGTGCTTTCAAGCCCAATTGACATTACTCTTCCTGCACATAAAGTTCTACTTGACTAAAAAGTGATGCTCCAAGCAGTGCTCATGTGACCTAATTTTCAGTGCCACCATCTCATTTTTGGCAAGATTAGGTGCATGAGTGACAGGACACCAGGTTCCAGCAAAGCTTATAATTTTAAGGAAGGGGGGGGGGGGCCTGATCACCTAGGTGGGAATTTGCAGCCAACAACAAGGTGTCCCTTTTGGGACCAAGGAGTAGAAGCAAGGCACCATTCCAATAATGCTCATAATGCAGACTATGCCGGTATCAGGTGTGACTGCTTGGGTAAGATGTTTGTTGCTAGACAGCCATGTAATTAGTGCACACGGTATAAGAAAGACCCTGGAGAGTCAGCAGAGGCCACCTGTGCACCATTACAGGCATCAATATTTCCAGCTGCTTACACCATTAGCTTTCGGAAAGTTCCATGTTATTGGATCACAAAGTCATTGTTCCAGGCACAGCTCTTGTGCAGAAAGTTCCTCCATTACATATTTGAGGTCTAGATGCTATGGCACAGTAAATACAGTAACCAATGGACAGACTACTATTTGAATACATTCTTACCCATTTGTGGCCTTGCTATAGGAACAGGCCTTGTTCATAGAATCTGGGACCTGGGTGGCCGCAGCAGCTCTCAGGTAACAGGTTATGTAGATCTAAAGGGAAAGATTTTAATAGGTTATCAGTTCTTACAAGGCATCCCATCTCTTGCAACCAATTCAAATCCTCACCAGAGACGCATCATTTCCTAGGAATCGGAAGACATCCACTGTGAACCGTAGGTTGTCTGGTTTGACCCTTGGAGTCATGAAGGCTGCAGAGGAGTCCTCTTGCATTCCATCTACCAGACACCTGTAGAAGATGGACAGTTAGAAAGTGGGGTCATTAGCACAAGCCCCCCCTTCCCAACAGGGTTCATTAGAGCAATGACCCTTTCCCCAGATATTAGAACATACCCATTGTCTGTAATGATATCATAATTAGGAGAAGAGCTGGCATCAGGCGATATAGTGGCCACACATCGGTCAATAAACAGGATCAGGCCAATATGGTTCTGAATGTCCACAGAGGCCTCTATGTAGAGAATATCTCCCAACTGAAACACTGAAGAACTTCTAGGGCCACTCCAGTCCTCTGCAAGTATAACAAAAAAAAATGAATAAATCCCAGCTGCCTCCCATTACCCCTCTTCTATCTTCCTCATGCAACTCACCAGCCATCAAGTGCAAAGAAAAGGACAGCCTCTCTTCCGAGGACACAGTGGTGCTGAATGGAAGCCATGTTGGCTTAATGGCCTTGCTGCTCACATTACCATGCCTATACAGAGAACAGACGTGTCAGTAATGAGTCATGAGCTATAACCATGGAATTTCACAGATCTATATTGTGTTTTAAAAGTACCATCTTCAAGGGAAACATTTTACAGTATGGTAGCCCCCATTGTTTACTTTGTTGCAAGCCTGATCAGAACTATATTTTCCAGCAGTTAGTTGACATGAAGCTAGCATGACTGATGCCAGTCTACATTGGCTCCATTCTTGTTGCCTGACAAGGACTCAGAAAATACCTGAAGCCTGTAGCTCTAAAATTTAAGAACTAATGCAACACTAAAATTTGAGAAAGCATAGGAACCTACAATATTTTCCCCAGGCTGGTTTTAAGTATTGCCAGCCTGATAACTCCTGCACTACCAATAGGCCATTGAAGAGATATTCCAGATGTTAGATATGGTAGGTCCCACTTTTGCCCATGAGGCAGTCTAAAGCCTTGGAGACTCATCAGAAACCCACCATTGTAAATGCTAATCCTAGTTTTAGCCAGCAACAGATATGGTTTAACACTGCAGCAGAAAAGCTAGGTTGTAGGTACAGGCTACAAGTTGATAGCTGGAGTCAATAGTTAAAGCATACCCAAGCCAAAAACTTTACAGCCCATTTAGACTTTAGTTCCCGAACAGGTTGCCATAACATCCTAGCCCCCCTAATGAAAATTATGACATGGGCCAAGGACATCTGGATTGTGGTATACTGCCCACAAACGTTTTAGGTGGCCCCTCATTCAGAATGTAGGGGGCGTGCCCCAGAAACGTGTTAACGTCACCATCACACAGGATCCGTCCAGTGGATGCTTACTGCCTGTCAGCTTATTTTACATGACTGTGTGACACTCATCCTCTGTGAGTACCTTCATGCTTTTTACTTCCATTTTATTTCGATAAACATGATCTGCACCAGGAAAGGCACCCCCTCTGTGTGCCCTGAGATACTACCTGTCCTGCTCCCCACACTGATGACCAGTTTAAACAGTGCTCACAGGACTGTTTTCATCCAACACTCTGGTGGTTGCCATGTTGAAAGACCTTCTGATTTCTTCTCCCTCCCAACCTGAATTGCCAATCTTTGCTTTCCATGAGCTATGGTGCCCAAAGATCAGCAGTGCAGGTAATCACTCTGACCAGTTAGGACTTGGATGCCATGGATCAGGGCTGCTTAATACAATGATGGCAGTTTAGAGCAGGCCTTAAACTTTCTCCACTTGTGACCCCTTTTCAGGCGAGGAAATTTTTAAGGGACCCCAGCGTCGGACAGTGTCCCTCCCCTTTCTCTGTCAGTGTCTGTCCCCTAGTCTCTCTCTCTGTCAGTGTCTGTCCCCTAGTCTCTCTCTCTCAACAAAACTACACATTAAGCGAAAACAAAGAATCTTGTTTCGAGCCCAGGCCTCCCTGGCCGTACCCCCTTGATGACGGTTCTGGCCAGGGATTCAGATCGTGACCACTCCTGTTCACTTGCTGGACCCCATATGGGGTCACGACCCACACTTTAAGCACTAGTTTAGAGCATTCCTGTAATAGGAGCCATTAACAGCCACAGCTAGCTGCCTAGATCTACATTACAAGATCTCAATGCTTCATCTAAAACATAACCAACGAGAGAATCACCTGCTATAGAAAGAGCCTGTGGGTGGGTCAGCCACTATAGAGTGAATGCTAAGGGTCTTCAGTGACCTGAGCAGAAGACAGAACAGCCAGCCTGGTATTAACCCATGTGCAGACACTAGCCCCTTTAGATCAGGTGAAGCTGTCACGTTATAAATTAATGGTTGAGTATTTCCTTACACTATGTAAAGCACATAGGGAAGGAGAAACATTTTCCCCATTTGTACACATATAGAGAACCAGGGCCAAATTCAGGAACAAGGCAGTGGGCAAACATGGAGAGTCAGGTCTGTTTTCATCTAAGTGAACATGAGATACAGTCCAAGCCCTACAAACTGCAGTAGCCCATAAAGACCAGATTTCAGTTTACTAAACCCAAGAAAACATGCAGAAGAGATGCTTTGCTGCACTAGTCTATATAGGAGAATAAATAAAGTTACGCTCTAGTTGTTGCTATAGGTGTCACTGAAGTTACTGGAACACATACAAAACAATGTGGAAGGAAGGATTTGGAGTGCAAACATTAAAGAAAAGTACCTGCGCAGTGTTGCCACAGTCTTGGAGGCCAATCTGGAAGATGACCATGTTGTCAGTACTTTCGGTGCTTGGCTTGCATTGTTGGACTCCCAGGCTCAGATCGGAGGGTTTTACTAGCTTTCCATTCCCATACAAATCCCTCTGGACACTGACCTCCATGGTGTCCTCTCCACACTGGACACTGACAGAAGAAGGTCTAGTCTGTGGCTGCTGTCGGAGCATCCCACCTGGACGTCCAGCAGATGAACCCCACTGAGCTCCAGCTCTGGAAGCCCCAAACCCAAGCACAGGCTCATTACTGCCCCTATAAAGCTCTCTGGAACCCCATCTAGAAGGAACCTGGGCAGGTACAGCCCGCTGGTAGTTCCTCCACCAATCTGACTGGCGACTCTGTCTAGCTAAGACATCATCTCCAGCACAGCCAAACCCTGGCCCATAAACCAGTACAAGCAGCAACAACCAATTACAGCAGCTCCTCATCCTTAAGCCCATCCTGTCTACAAGAGGAACAGCATAAGGAGTGAGATAGAGAGAGTTACCATTTATACCCCTCCCAGCAGCCACTAATACCCCAGCTGGGGCAGATCATTATCAAACCCAGTTGGCTGGCTCATTCAGCATTAGGGGCAAGATACATGGTTGATTTGAATCTGTTGCTGCTGAGAGATTTAACCACTTGCTGGCATTCACCTCACTGGAGCTACACATATACAATGTGGCCCTGGTACTGAAACGTTTGGAGACTCCTGGACTAGAGCTACACAGGAGACGTTTGCATGTTAATGTTTGTTGCATTAAGGTCCCCCATTGAAATGAATGATTTTAGTAACAGGATTGAGATGATAAAATTCCCCTTTTACAACTATTCAATGCATAGCCCTCCCTTGTATCTAGGAATGTCCAGCAGAGCACCTCTGCATACACTGCCAGCCAGCTGGGGGTCACTGTTGACCACATAATATCTTGTAGCATGCAACATGTGGCCCACGAGTCGTAGTTTGGAGAAACCTGCTCTAGTCTTAGGACTCATTTACACTGTTTTGCGCCTGTTTCAGAGCCTTTTGCAACCATGTGTTCTATGCGTTATGGGGCGCACACCCAATGATGTCCATAAATGAACTCAACTTGAAATACCTATGATGCAAAGAGAATTGCCATGTGTCTTCTGGTCCATTGAAAATGTATTCAGACCATGCAATGGGCCTCATCATGCCAAATAATGCGTGCCAACTAATGTTGGAGGACTCAGGCGAACTGGGAAGTTGCACCAAACCATCGCACATCCTTAGTATCAACACATGCAACATGTGAATGGGCCCTTTGCATTACCATTCATTTCCATGGACCCCAGGACGCACACTGATCCAGTAACATACATGCTCTGCTCTCTGAATGAGCTCTATCACTGGGAGCCACTTAGATCTTGCTTTGCTGTAATGTCTTATTTATTATTACTTAAAGTCAGTCCAATAAAAAGTGAAGTTTTGGGTGTCCACGTCCACCTTTGTGTGTTCTCAGCTCCTCCTGTCACATTCTGGGTAATATATAAAAAAATAAAAATCCAGCAGGGATGTCGAGAACCTCTTATAATGGGCACAGCAGGTGTACAGACTCGGGAGCTTAGCACAGGGATGGTAATAGCCTCTTTTAATGGGCACAGCGGGTGTACAGACCTAGGAACCCACCTCAAGGATGGAGGGAACCCCTCATAATGGACACAGCAGGTGCACAGACCCAGGAACCCAGATCAGGGATGGTGGGAACCCATCATAGAGGGCACAGCAGATGTTTAAAGTCAGAAACTTAGCACAGGCATGGTGGGAAACATAATGGGCCCAACAGGTGTACAGACCTAGGAACTCAGTGCAGAGATGGTGGGAGCTCCTCCTAATAGGCACAACATGTGCTCAGACCCCAAAATTCAGTACAGGAAATGTGGGAGCCGTTATAATAGCCACTGCAGGTGTGCAAAGCTGGAAACTGAGCACAGCAATGGTGGGAGTCCCTCATAATGGGAACAGGAGGTGTGCAGAGCCGAGAACTCAGAGGGCGCTATATAAATCCTCCTGGTTTAGTGTAATGTTGTCAGCAATCCACACTAAACACCAACGCGTTGAAATCTTCTGCTGGCATATTACCGGAGGTGGTGTTTTGGAACTACATTTTGGCTTCAACATGCTACTGACATTTTACACCTTTCCGTTACATACATTATATTAGGCCTAGTGATGTCACTGGGCCTCTAATGAAGGCAGATCATGGTGGGGGGTGGGCAGGGTGCAGTATATAGCTTCCTGAAAACATTACAGCACCCTTCCCCAAGAGCCCTGATGCAAATTGCCATTTTTTGTGGACCATAAGTTGTTTTCATTTATAGTAGGCATGCACAGATACTAGTATCGATATCGGTGCAGATTCCGAGTATTTGGGTGAGTACTTGTACTCGCCCAAATGCTCCGAAGCCTAGCACGAGTACTTCCGGTATCAGTAAGCCGGGCAGCGCTTCATTACACGCTTGTGATGAGAGACTTGTGATGTCACTTGTGATGAGAGAGCATGGAGCCGACTTCCAGGCCAACCATGAAGCAGGGCAGCGTGTAATGACGCGCTGCCCGGCTTCTTGATTGGTCGGGAAGCTGGCCTCGTGAGGTAAGGTTACCTTAACTTAGTATGTGCAGCCTGTCACCCCCGGAGCCTCTCCAGCGAGAACGCGGCCTTCCTCCGGTACCTAGCAGGGCGTCGCGTCATTACACAGCGCCTGGCTTTCTGCTTGGCCGGCCAGGCGGCATATTACATTTGTGGTTCTAGAAGATATATTAATAGCCTCAATTTCGGTCCCCATTAAGGAGAGTAACATTTCCCTTTATTAAGCATGTTGGAGAAACCTCTGACATTAATACACAAGACTCATGTACAGATCCCTCAGGAAACCCCAATGTTACAGGAAAAGAGCGAGAAAGTACATTATGGCATCTATAAATAAAAGAGACCAGATTAAATGAGAATTGTTTTATTTTTCCACAGACAGAACATTGTATGGATTTTTCAGAGACTTCCCAACGGACACTGCACATACAAGGACAACCAGAAGACTGATACATCCGATGGCCACCAACACCCAGAGCTCCAGGGGGGCAGACTCTTCCTTTGTCATTTGAAGTGCAACGTCGCTTTGTTTTGGCCCAGTCACAAGCAGAGGTCCCAGAGTGGTGACACTTTGTCCACCTTCCATGTGGGGTTCTGTAGGAGAAAAACATTGGCGAGTCTAAAGACACTTACAGATCTCTGTACACTTCCATGAAATTAAGAGATTAGTCACTTCAAGTGTGCCAAGTTAAAACCCATTATGAACCTGTAGTCACTTCATCCAAGATTTGAACCCCCCGCCCCCGGTTTTTATTGCCACAGACATTTAAGATCTCCGCTCCTAGTCACATTATGTGGCAAGTGAGGAAGCATTTCCATTGGGAGCACAAAGCAGCCATTGGGTTTTTAGCATTACCCCCATATTGGTACCTTTGTCCATTATTATACAGGATTTATATAGCGCCAACAGTTTGTGCAGCGCTTTACAATATAAGGAAGACATTACAATCACAATATAAATCAAGACAAGATGGTAAGGAGGGCCCTGCCCATGAGGGCTTACAATCTAAAAGGGAGGGGGAAGCGATACATGAGGATCTCTGGGGTCTAGATCTAGAAGTATGGCTGTAGGTAACATTAGTGTATACAGCAGCTGTAGGTTAACTCACCATCCAAGGCTTCCCTCTTTCCAAATGCTCTCGGTCTTCCAAATCTGGTCCTTCCTCCTGTCATCAGATTAGGGTTGCTGCAGGTGCCTGTTGTCTGACAACACTGGCAGATATTGCTGGGGCCCTCAACTGCAGACCAGCTAGAGAAGACAAGCAATGGTCAGCATCACAGACTATTTTCAGAACGAACATTTAAATTTGTTAAGCCGCATGGATTGACATTTTTTTGTTATGAAGGTGAGAGCTTGGGAGCTCATTCGCAGCAGATGAAAGTGCACTGGAGGTACAGTGACAAGTGCCCAGTAGAGGCACATCTGAGGTTACATCCCTTCTATTAAGACAGGCACTCAAGCACTCCAGTCTGGAACTAAATGGTGCTTTAGAGCCCAATTGGTATTCCTCTTCTTGCACATAATGTTCTGCTTGCCTAAAAAGTGATGCTCTAAGCAGTGCTCGTGCAATCTAGTTAAGTTCCCCCATCTTATTTTTTTGGGCAAGATTAGGTGCTCGAGCGATGGATACCAGGTGTCAGTAGTCCTTATCCCCTTAGTGGGAATTTGCAAACACTAAGGTGTCCCTTTAGGGACTAAGGAGCAGATGCAAGGCACCATACCAATACTGAATATGCCGGTACCAGAGGCCCTCAGGTGTGACTGCTTGGGTGAGATCTTTCTTCCTAGACATGTAACCAGTGTACATGGTATAGGAAAGACCCTCAGAGACACTAGAGGCTACTAGCCATGTGCATTCGGATAAACCTGCAAAACACAAAATTCAGTTGATTCAGCCAAAATAACGAATTTTTGTATATGCCCGTATATAAAAACAATATTCGAGCATATATATAACATTCATCAGAACACACTGCGACCATATTGGCCACCAGCACGTTCTGCACATGCCCGCCACCATCTTGGGAGGCTGGATGCATGTAGGATAGGTGCAGTACAGCCAACGGCCACTAGATGTCCCCATGGCACCCTATAGGTAAAGTAGCTCTGGCCTAAGGAAGACTCGGCGTTCCAGGAGAGCTAATATATAGGGGGCGCCCAAGAGGAGAGGGCAGAACAGGAGATGAGTACAGGAGAGCAGAAGTCCAAGACTGTATGCAGAGTCTCCAGAGGGAGACTGATTCTAGAACATAGGCTGGTCCATGGGAAGGACAGGGCCAGGTCTAGGACTATGTAGGAGCTTCCCCAGTTTCCCCTGGAGGGGGAAGCCACCGAGCTAGGACTGACAAGGATAGGATTCCGGAGAAAATGGAAGTGCTGTAAGACTGACAATATTCGCTAGTGGGCCTCTGGCCAAAGCAAGTCGTGGACTTCGGGCTGATCTCCCTCTCCAATATGTATCACCATGCAAGTAATGTGCAGTCATCCCACTTGGGGGTGGCTGAAACATATGCTTGTCATGTTCATCCTTTCAAGTAAAACCAAGAAAAGACTGTGTGGACTGGTTCTTCTCCCT